TGCCAGTGGATGGTCAAGGTGTCCGGGCTGAAACGATCCAGGGACAGCATGGGTGACGACCTTGGCATGTCCCTGTCCAAAGAAGCACCGATTTCACCCATGGTGTCGTCGTTACAGGAGGTCGTGAGGGACCGAAGGCTGAAGGTCATATTCTCAAAGTTTGTCAAAGATCTCAGGGAGGAGCCATTGCTGATGGCCAAGGTGGGCTTGAGCGCGCTCGTCGTCTCGGCCGTGTCCGCCGCCATCGGCGCACACCGCTTCGCCGTCCTCCTCTCGGAGGAGTATCTGCCGACACTGCGGGCGCCCGCGCCTCCGCCGCCGCAGTTAGCTCGTAGCTAAGAGTTTGTAAATGAGCACGCCCACACTTTTGTGCAGTATAATCATGTAGAGTATTAGTATTATGGTATGGGTCATGAGTTTTTGAGAATATATATACATCCATATTTAGTGCTACGTGCAACATTACTAGTAGTACTGTATATGTTAAGGGTTGAAGGCTGGGACTTCAGTTTTGGGCCCCCTCACAGCTCTGTAGAGGAGCCTGGGCAGGATGCTCCTGTACCTGTCCTCCTCCCTCTTCTCCAGCAGGTAGGCGATGATTTCCTCCACCTCCGATTTAACATCGAAGTAGAGCTCGGTCGCGGCCCGCCGGTCGGTGAGCACGTCCTGCCGCCCCCTCGTCGGGATCGGCTTCCCGAACCGGTAGTAGAACCGGCCGGGAATCTTCGGCACTGCGCCGGGGAAGATCACCTCGTGAGTGTCCCTGCAGCAGAAACCAACCAACCTTAGCCTCAGTTCATGGTGAGAAGAGAACGAATGTTCCCAAGCTCTATAAACCTTAGCTTCAGATGGTTGCTGTAGCCCCGCAGCAGCTTCCTGCCGAAGGGCACGCTCTTAATATCATTGAATGTCCAGAGCAGCTGCATGTTCAGAAGGGGTGCAAATGTCGGTTAGGGAATGCATGATTGTGGTTGCATTCTTGAATCTCTAACGGTTTTAGGATACATTCATCATCTTGATAGTTGATACATAACCCAAGAATAGAAATGTTTAGATGCAAGTGTTGGAATGAAATGTGTCATTGGTCCGTTAACTCAAATTAATTGCACACTTTGGGCCAATACTTTGGGAAGTGATCGGGTTTAGTCCATAAACTCGTGTTCTCGATCAAGTAAGGCCAAAACCGAGCGTACCTTAAACCACTTGAATGAAAACTTAAAAGAAACAGTCAATGGCTTACGTTCACAAGGTCATCCTCTCCGACGACTCCAAACGGCACGATGGTGGCATCGAACTGCGCCGCCATCCTGACGAACTCAGCCTGGTCCGGCCAGAAAAGCCTGTGCTCTTCTCCCTACAATCCACATTCCACAAGTTCATAATCAAAAATAGCATCTACTCAGTTTCCGGAGTAGAACAAATTAACAACAAATTATGTTGTGTACCCTGCTCCTACCTTGCAGTGGAGCGCCTCCCTATAGCCACCGGGGTAGAGCAGCACGAACTCGCCGGCGGCCAGCAGCTCGTACATGCACCGGTAGGTCATGGGCACGCCGCCCCACAGATTGAGGAGGTCGAAGAGGTCGTGCCCCTGCGACCGCGTCCTCGCCTTCCTCGGGAACAGCAGCGGGTGGGCGACGCCGCGGACGACCACCTTCCTCCGCCGCATCAGCTCCGCGCCGAGCGGGATGATCTCCGTGCCCATCAGCATGTGGTTGCCCACCAGCAGCACCGGCCCCTCCTCCGGCAGCCCCGCCAGGCCCCGGACCACCGCGCCGTCCTCCATCGTCGAGTACATCGCCGGGCACGTCTTGAGCATCGTGCCCCTGTTATTATTATGTACAGCGTGTAATAAGTGGTAGTAGTACATTCATGATTATTCGGCACGTATGAATGAAGGGTGTAAGAATTTGCTGCTGGGTGTGGTGATCTAGGTTACTACCTGCTGATCTTGTCGGCCTCCTTCATGTCGGTTGCCGACGGCGGTATGTAGTCGCGAACCCGGTGGTAGCGCCTCGAGTGGCGGTAGAGGGAAGAGCACTTGATGATGGATGAGACATGGACACCATGCTCCTGAAATTTTCATCAGCATTGTCCTTTGACATGTTCCTTTCAGTGCATAAGATATACTGCAATCTGATAAAAGTCTGCTTAAAAAAGCTCACCAGCAGCAAGCTGTGGCCATGCTTCTCAAAGAAGAAGACTCTGCATTTGGGTAACTTCTTCTGTAGCTTGTTAGCTTCAGATTTGCTCGGAAGTAACCTGTCGGCGCAGCTGAGTGCAACCATACAAAAGAACTTGAGTCATGAATCATGATACCGTAAATCAATTGGTCGAAATCTGACAAAAAAATACGCATTCAAACCAGAAACACTGCTAAATCATGCAGTAGCTTGAATTTATCATTTGACAAAAATCTGCAGCTAAGGATGAAAATGGAAGTAGAGAACCGAGTGCCTAATAAGGCCACAAACCTGGCTAGCAGTAGCACCTCGGCTGTAACTGATTGTATATGGCTATTAGCGTATGATGCAGCCTGTTTGATCAGTTTAATCTTCCATTTTAGTGTGTCTTTTGGTAGTTTGTCCAGCATTTTCTGCAATTAAAGGCACACATATATTCCTTCAAAAATGAATAAATTTGAAGGCACATATTTTTGCACACATTAATCTTACAAACCAAAAGAAACACGAGAAAAAAAGATAGCAGGAAACTGAATTTATTTCCAGACCATTTTCTCCCTTAATTTGATTTTTTTTCCCAGAAAGGTAGGATAACCTTTGGCCTCTACATCAATTGATGCACCCAACTATTTACTGACATGTTTTATTTCTTAATTTGTATTGTCTTGATAAAATTAGATACATAGAAACAAGATGCAGAGAGGTCGATGGTACACACCGAATGCTTCAGGGAAGATGACATGTTACTTGTCAATCTGCTGAGTGCTTCTAAAGGATGCCTCCCACTTTTCATTATACTCAGTGCCATGTTCACCTCATTGTCTGGTCTCAATGAACAGGAAGAATAGAAGAAGCAAGTGCAAAAAACTTAGGGAACAAATGTAACTTATGACATAATGGTATATATCAGGCAAATTTCAGTCCAATAAATGCATCAATGTTTTTGCTTAATTTATAGGCTATTCCTACACTTGTTCCTTTTTCAATTTTTCTATGTTGGACCCGACAAGGTACTTACGGATGTTGTAATTCAGTAGAGCTGCAGCTGCAATACAGGCACGGTCCGACAACGGGCTGAAAACCGACAGAAGTGTTTTTATGCGTGATCTCTCAAATGATGTAGCTTCCCCAGAAGAAAAGAGAGACGAAACAAAAAAAAATGTATATCAGAAATTTTTCATAAATAGGCAGGTTCACTGGCACACCATCAGAATTTCTTGCATACCTGGATTAACTAGTACCAGTACCAAATCAGTGCCAGGATTGCGAGCGGCGACTGCAAGGGCTATGCATCCTCCAAATGAATTCCCCAATATGTAGATGGGCTTAGTAGGAGAAGCAGAATGCTCTGCTCTCACAACATCCTCTACCATTGTGACAAGTTCTGGAAAATAAAAGGAGCTAAAACCATACAGTTAATCTTTAGAACTTGATAACTGGACGTGCGGCGTTGGCTCTGCTTAACGCGTTTTGGGGATCTTTTGTTTTTGCCACAGGTCAACCTGAAGGCATGTCTCTAAAAAATGACTTTGTGTGTTGTGTGCATCTTCATGATACAGACGCCGAGAGAAATGAAATGTTCCATTTGCAACAAAAAGGATGTCTTTCACTCTTAATCTTAAAATAAGCTCAGAATTTCACTTGGGAGGGAAAATGCTCGGGAGAGAAAGTAACAAATTAAATACACAGATATCCCATACCTTCGAACGGCGTGCGGTCGCGACGAGGAATATGCATGCATCTAAGTTCAAATATCCTGCAAATGAAGGAACAAATGCATAGTGTATTCTCCTTTTAGAAAGAAAAAAACTGCATAATGTATTCGAGGTAGTATCACAATCACACTACTCCGGGTTTGCCATAAATTTTTCCAAGTAAACTAGTCTTGGTATCTCACGTTCCAAGAGCCTTGTGGTGCATGCAGAGCCCCATCCCCATTCCATCTATCCCTGCAAAGATTAATATGTATGTAACCCCAAATCATAACCCCTAACCGGAAATTCAGGTATAAAGACGTGCATGGCTGTCGAAGGCACAACATCAATTTCCAGACACGAACACACATTCACCTGGCAAATACAGCATGACCGGGGCATCCTCGACCGCCGGTTCGCCGGCGTCGACGGGGCAAAGCCAGCGGGGCGGCCCGCCGTCGTGCTCCACCAGCTCCCCGATCGCCCGGTAGTAGTGGCCCAGGTCCTTGACCGTCCCGTACCCATCATCGTACAGCGGCTCAAGACCCCTGTAGCTGGCCTGCACCCTCCCGGCGGCGTGTGCGTGTCTGGACGAGCCATGCAGCCGTCGCTGCCGCAGCCCTTGTTGCCAGAGGGGGAGCACCTGCGGGTGTGCCAGGGAGAGGGAGAGAGTCGCCATTGCCGCTAAGCTTTCTTTTGAGCATCCCGGCCATGGTTTCAAGAGGGACCTACGTACTTAAGCATGAGCCATGCGCGCCGCTCATGCATCCGATGCGCGACAGACATAACTGCATCTCAATGAGGCCCAGAGAGTGTGAGTGCGGCCATGGCGTCGTCACGCCAAACATTGGTCATGGTTTCCCCCTCTTCTCTGCGCTGAAACGGCTCCTGTCGGCGGTGGCCGGTGGTGTCTGAAGCGTGGTGGACTTCGCCGCCCGGCGGCCACGTCCTACGCAAAACGATGCGCTGGGCCCGAAATGGTTGGGCCCAGTGGGCTGAGATTACGAACGGGCTGGGCCGGGGCGCGCGGCTGGGTGGGCCGTGAAGAGGCCTGCGCGAGTAAACAGGAGCTTTGCCGGGAGCTTGTGGGGTGTGGAGGGCAGATCGGCGAGGAAGGAGGAGGATGATGGGGGGACGAGGTGGGGGAGTAGGGAGCGGGGGAGGAGGGGGGCGGCGGCAGGAGCGGCAGGCGCTGATGGCGGCGTTCGCGGTGGCGCTGCTGATGGGCACCGCCGTCTACTTCCGCATCTGGGCGCGCCAGTCCGACGACCCCTCCTTCACCGCCGACGACCGCGAGGAGCTCCGGTTCGCACCCCGCCCCCGCGCGTCCTTCCCCTCTTCCCCACCTTCCTTCCTCCTGCTGACGGATCCTCATGCCTGTTCGACGGGTGGATCATGGCTAGGAGGAAAACTCTCGGATTCAGTCTGTAGAATGGATTCCAAGGAGCAAATCTTGGTGACAGGCAGTTCGTTTTCTGCCATTCCATATCACAATTTGGGTGTAAGAAACCATAGATCCAGACTTATATGGCATTAGATGCTTTTCTTTCTAGTTCCTTTTTTACTACCTGATGCCAGTCCAGATGGTCTGAGAATTAGCTGCCTGATCAAGGGGGGGTTCAAGGGGAGTTCGGTGAAATTGGGGCATTATTTCCTTGTTTGTTTATTTCCACTGGACATATGTGTTTGCCATTGTGAGTATCTAGTACATGCTTTTCAGCAAGAATTTGACTGGCATATGTTAGTTAAGCTATATTTGCCTGGTCCATACAGAACATTGTTGATTTTGATTTTTCCATAGCCATTGTTTGTCTCCGGTCAAATTTTAATCTAGGTCCGTACAATTTCATATATGCGTGTGTTCGTGTTCGTGTTATCTTGATGTTTTGTCAGAGGCATGGCTAAGCGGTTTATTGGTATTCTTTTGCTGGGTCATCTTTGCAGGAGGCAGTTCGAGCATGCTAACCTAGAGGCAATGGATGAATCCGCTGAGTGGAGAATGAAATACGACACGGAGTTGGCGAAAAACAGGGACCTGCAAGATGAACTTTTAAAGGTTGGTTCCATTGCCAGCATATGTACCTGTACACTCTAAATATTCTCCCATGATTCACGTCTGCGATGCTTATGGGACAATCTTTGTTTGTAGGTCAAGACCTCACTGTCTGATTCAACCAGGAGATTTGAAGAGTTGCAAAAGGTAATTTTGGGGCAAATTTCAGTGCATTTTCTCACTCTATCAGAACCTTGGTTCTGCGTATCCTGTTTCATTTGACCGTCTGCTTCCTCTCCATTTATTTTCACTCTCTCCTATGTACATGCCTTGCTTAAGCTCATCTCCATCGCTGCAGGATAATGAGATGTTGAAGAGGCAGACTGAATCCATGAAACTGGAGTGCAATTGCACCGTTCCATTGAATATTAATCAGGAATAAGTACATTTCACTGGCAGATTAGCACTAGTTTCGTTTTCATTTTTCTTATTATTGGAGTGAGGACAGATGGAATGAGCAGCTTTGTAATAGTACATATCGCGACTGCAGCAAAGAAACTTGTGTTTGCAATTGTTAATGACCTATACACCCTGGTACAATTTTGGAAGTAATAACTTGTGAGTAGCAATGCATAGGTGTGTTTTTGGCTCCATTTAAATATTATGTACAGTATTAAGTTTTGTGCTGGATTTGGGAAAATTGCTTGGCACCTGTACACACGCAATGTAGTGATGGTTACCTCCAATTCCGTTGGTGTATGTTTTCAAAAGTAAAAAATCTTGGCTGTTGACATTCCTTTTCTTCTTGAACCTGCCAATCCACCTTATTACAAAGGGGGGGCCTAAAAGGCGGCATATTAAGATTTGTAGACCACTATATGTTTTCATTCTCTTCTGAGGGAATCAAACAGAGGAACCACTTGGCATGAGTGGTAAGCTGTATCGTGATGAGGCCCTATTAGTTGAGGGGTGTGTGGGGTATCATGTGTGTGCCGCTCGGCAGTTTGTGACGGTTTTAGCCCGGTTTTCCCGTTGATTAACTGGCCAACTCTCTTCTGCTTAATTAATGATGAGGCAAATCTTTTTGCCTCCATTTCAATTTTTTTATCAAAAAAAAAGAAAAACAGAGGCCTGTCTTGCTCTTCTTGTCTCTGACCAGTTATCCCTTACTGTGAAATTCTGTTCAAGTCTTCTGGTTACATAAACATTTTCAGGTTATAATACAGTGCAAATATACGGTTGTCATAAACCTATTCAGGTTATAATACAGTTCAAATATACAGTTGTCACAAACCTATTCAGTTCTGTTTATGCAACACTTCCCAATCCAAAATATGCAGTTGTCATTGTTCAGTTCTGTTTATGCAACAGTTGCCCAATCCAAAATATACAGGCACTAATCCTCCATCAACCTACTCAGGTGCCTGGATTAATCCTACTGAGCAAAGTAATGCATCATGGTTGTGACCGTCCAATGCTAATCCTGCAAAGTAGGATCTGAACTAGGAGCATCATCATCAAGGACACCATGCCAGGCGCCTCAACCAAGCGACTTTTTTTCAAACCCAAATCTAGTGACTTCGAAGTTCCAACACTTATTATAACTAATGGTTTTCAATATATGTTTATATCCACTTTCATCAGCACTTCAAGAACCAAATTACAAGATAGGATAGCACATCAATGTGTGGTTTACACACTGCTCAAAGCTGAAGGATACCATACCCAGTCATGGAATCAGTAGTATCTTGCCAATGTGGGAGCTTGATTCCATTAACTTGTGAGCTTCAGCTGCCTCAGATAGAGGGAGTGTCCTGTAAACCACCGGCTTCACCTTGCCCGACGCCACGGCTGGCCATACATTTCTCTCCACCTCGCTGACGATCTGAGCTTTATTGGCCAGGCTTCTGCTCCGCAGCCCAGCAACTGCACATAACCATAGCAATTCAATCCCATTGCTAAAATTAGCGATGCCATTTAGGAATCGTCCAATCGCATAAAACAAACAAAAAGCTTTGATATAAAATCTGTGATCAGGAAAAAAACATGTGGCATAACGAGAAGCGGGGAAATTGTGTGGATCAATGCAACCTTGTATGGTCAATCTTCGGGCAAGCATGGCCTGCAGGTTCACTTGAGTTACGGTGCCTCCCATGAAACCAATGATGAAAAGCCTACCATCAACTGCTAAGCTGTCCAGATTGCGCTGGAGGTATGGTCCGCCGACGTTGTCCAAAATGACATCGACACCTGGTAGAGATATTCCCCATATTACAGTGAGAATGAATGTTAAATTGCCAAGCATAACTTGGGAAAGCCAAAATATTGTGTTTTATTTTTGCATCAGGGCATCAAGCATTACAAGAGAAAGGCAGGATAATACCATTTCCATTTGTTTCTTCTTTGATGCGTGCTGCAAAGTCTTTGGTTTTGTAGTTTATGCATACATCCGCACCCAAACCCGCACAAGCGGCTAGTTTCTCTTGGCTTCCTAGAGAAGCATAATAACAGAGTTACTTGCGGCACACTTTCAGAAAACATCTTAGTAGCATATACTCCCTCCGTCCCAAAATAAGTGTCTTAAGCTTAGTACAAATTTGTACTAGGGCTAATACAAAGTTGAGACACTTATTTTGGGACGGAGGGAGTATACTGTATCTATCTATCTGAACCAACAAACCTGCAGTGACAAAAACCTTGATTCCGAGGTGCTTTGCGATCTGTATGGCAAATGTGCCGATTCCGCTTGATCCACCATGGATCTGCATAGGATTAGAGATACCTCATCAGCAATCGAAAACATAGGCATGAAAATTCAGTTCCAGTTCAATTCTCACGACACTGATTGTGCACCTCCTTTTGCATACAAGGGACTACTGAATCATTTCGTACTCCATTCGAGTTGGCATCATTCAGTACTTTGCTGTTTTTCAGTTAGTCAGAGCATGCCAATTTGTTGTGACCAAAGATATCTGACTGAACAAAATGTTCAGCTCCTAGTAGTAGTACGAATCATATGTGGGGATGACTGGGGCAGATTCTTCGGCCTGCAATCCCAACAAATCATCGAGAGAGATGTCTTACAAGGAAGGATTCGCCGGGGGAGATGTGGCTGGTCATGAAGGCGGTGGACCAGACGGTGCAGGCCACCTCGGGCAAGCCGGCGGCGTCGGTCAGCGACACTCCCTCCGGCACCGGGAGCAGCAGCGCCGCCGGCACCACCACCTTCTCCGCGTACCCGCCGCCGGCGAGCAGCGCGCAGACCTGCATAGCCCGCAAGCCAAACAGCAGATGCATCACCATAGCAGAGCAGCAGCAGCAAGGGCAGAGGAGGTGGTGAGGTGAACTTCACTGAACAAAGCTATTACCTGGTCGCCGACGGCCCAGCGCGGGTGGACGTTGGCCCCGAGGGCGAGGATGGAGCCGGAGCACTCGACCCCCGGGTACGGCGAGGCGCCGGGCGGCGCCGGGTACCCGCCCTGCCGCTGGACCGTGTCGGTGCGGTTGACGCCGGCGGCGGCCACCCTGAGGAGCACCTCGCCGTCCCCCGGCGGTGGGGGGTCCTCCACCTCGCGCTCCTCCAGCACCTCCGGCCCGCCGGGGCTCGCGATCGCCACCGCCCTCATCCGTTGTCGGCGTCGATCTCCTTCGTCGCTCTCACTGCCTGCTCAGCTCGGCCGCGAGTGGGTTGCACGTATCCCCCCATGAGGTCGACAGACGGTAGAAAGTTCCCGCCGCCGGCGGCTAGCTGCGTGGTCCCCGCTGGCTCCCCCACTTCTCTCCGAAAAAGGGTTTCCCCCCGCTTTAGATTATAAAGCAACCAACATCCACAACCAAGCCATCGATACAAACGCACACCACACACACCCAAGACGAGATACAAGAATGCCGGGCACCGACACACACCCTCAACGACTACCACGCCCCCACAGGATGCCCGATGAACCGGGAAGAAGTGTGACGGACCACGCCGGACCGAGGGCTCCAAGACGATGCCTCCAAGAAGGGGTACGACCACGGAATGTCGCCACCGTCCGATCCGAAGATCAAGCTTTCACCCGGAGCTAGAAGGAAGGAGAAGGAGCACCACGACGAAGCCTGCAGGGAGGAACACGACGTCCGCGGACGCCATCATCGTCGGCCAGAGCGCGTACTGGGCAAGTGATGTACTCCGGTGCTTCAACTCTTCCGTCGCCTCCCCGGTCCGACAGCCACCCGCAGCTATGCCACCTGAGCGGCCATAGATGCTCGCCCGCATCCGAGCCGCGCAGTCCGTCCACGACCGCCGCGTCTCCCACCGCCAGGGCCGCCGCCCTGCCACCAGACCACCGCGAGAACTCCCAAAGGACACGACTTTGACCAGATCCACGCCCCCAACCGCCTCCTGGAGTCGCCGGCGGGCGCTGCCTCGAGACGAACTGCGACATGACGCTGCCCGGGGGAAGGGGGAGGTGGGGGAACGGCCAATGGCCAAAGACGCTCATCCCCCAACCAGCCTCCCCCCCGAAACCACCTGTTTCGCCCCCGAAGCCGAAGGTCCGGACCCGCCGGAGAGCAGCCACCGCCACCCGAAGTCGAGGAAGACGGATGAGATGGCAGATCTGCCGCCGCCGGAGCCATGGGAGGCCATCAGGGGGGTCTTCCCGCGTCGAGCTCCGCCGTCCAGCCGCAAGGGCCCGACTGGACGGGGGCGCCCACCACCACCGCTGCTGCGCCGCCCCTCCACCAGAGAGCCGCGGCGAGAGGTGCCGCCCGCGACCCGGTCGCACACGACCCGCAGCGCCAGGGGGGGCTCGCCGGAGCTGCCGAGAAGCAACCGCCGCCTAAAACCGCCCGCCGGCCTGCACCACCCCGCGCCTTGCCGCCCATCACACAGCCGCCACGCCACCGTCGTTGGCCCCCGCCGGAGCGCCGCTGCGCCGCCGCGCCCGACAACCAGCGCCGCGTCCCGGCACGCGAGATCCGGCCCGCGCCGAGATCCCCGCGCGAGGAGATGAGGGGGACCCCGCCGCCGCCGGCGACGACCGGGCTTCGCCCGCTCGCGCCCCTCGGCGGCGGCGAGGGGGGGAGAGGAGGAGGGGAGGAGAGGCGGCGGCGCTAGGGTTTCCTCCCGGACGCTCGCGGGAGCGTCGCGGGAGGAGGGGGGAGCACAATACCAATGAAAGTCCTTTGCCTCCAATCACCTGACACTTTCCAGTCCTCCCCCACTTCTCTCGAGGGCCCCATAGAGGTAGAGACCTATTATAAAGATTTATTGAAAGTACAAAGCACCCAAATATAATAAAAATTATTACATCGAGGTTCATGGACATTGGACAGTCAAACGACCATTGCCGCCGTCAGAACGAGCCGTCGACGCGCCGCTCTCGTACCAAAGCCCCTAAGGACCAGCGTTCGGGAGTCGCACTCGTCGCAGTTGAATCCTTGAATCGATATGATAAACCACACGTCATCGTTTCAAGTGCGTATAAACTTCTTTTTCCAATTCAAAATTCAAAAGTCGATCACGCCAATAGGGAGAATATGGAAGTGGCTATAGGTAAGTCGTCTCAAAATTTATTTTAAGTTATTCGATTCTCTAGGCCATTTTAAATTAAACATTGAATGTTTGTCCTTCTTTTTTCTTCCTTCAGCTTATTTTTGGACCTTGGTAAGCGTTGAACGTTCGGATTTTGCCTAGAGCAAATCAAACGGTTTTTATGGAAACTTCAGTTGATGCGAGGATGGCAAATTTAGTTGTTCAGCATGTCAATTCCGTCCTTAGTTTGTTTTTTGCCTGAAAATTGACATGCTTGCCAACTAAATTGCCATCCTCGCGACAACTAAAGTTGCCATAGAAAACTAATTTGCCATCCTCGCATCAACTAAAGCTGCCATGAAAAACGTTCGATTTGCCAATGGGCAAAATCCGAATGTTAGGTATTTACCCTTTTTTTTTCTCCTTCGGTCTTCTTCCTCCCACAGAATCGACTTATTCAAATCGGAAATTCAGTCAAAACTATTGTGGAAAAATCTCAACATCAATAATCCTCCCATAAGATGAAAGGACAAGACTTCCAAGTTCCAACATTTTATTGTGACTATTTATCCTCGAGATACATATCCAATTTCACCAGCACTTAGAGATCCAGCTTATTACAATATAAAAGGGCATGTCCATGCATAGTTCACCACAGTAAACAGTGCCCACAGCGGCTAGTGTACACATGAATACATGATACACCATATCCAATCATGGAATCAGCAGTATCTTGCCAATGTGGGAGCTCGTCTCCATCAACTTGTGAGATTCAGCTGCTTCAGACAGAGGGAATGTCTTGTAAATCACCGGCTTCACCTTGCCCGACACGACGGCAGGCCACACGTTCTTCTCCACCTCGCTGACGATCTGGGCTTTGTTAGCGAGGCTTCTGTTCCGCAATCCAGCAGCTGCACAAAATCATGGCAATTCGACCAAGTGGTAGATTAGAGATGATGTTTAGGAATAGTACAATCATGAAAAAACAATGAAGCAAAAAACAAGTATAGGCATAAGATGGCAATACTGAAATCACAAATATCCATCTAACCTTGTATGGTCAATCTTCGGGCAAGCATCGCCTGCAGGTTCACTTCAGTTGTAGTGCCTCCCATGAAACCGATGATGAAGAGTCTACCATCAACAGCTAAGCTGTTCAGATTGCGCTGGAGATAAGATGCGCCGATATTGTCCAGAATGACATCAACACCTGGTAAAGGTATTTTGTATTATTGTTAATGTAGGAGTATATAAACTTGATAGGTGTGAGTAGGTAACACACTAGGGGTTAGCAACCACCATAACAGAAGAACAGATCCGAGTATCAAACATTGCAAAAGGGTAGCAGCAGCATACCCTTTCCATCGGTTTCTTCTTTTACGCGCGCTACAAAATCTTCAGTTTTGTAGTTTATGCATACATCCGCTCCCAAACCTTTGCAGGCAGCTAGTTTTTCTTCGCTTCCTAGAATAGAGTGACAGAGTTACTAGCACAGATTCAGAAACGATTTGGTAATATCTTATTTTTTCTCTTAGTAAGTGTATAACTAACAAACCTGCAGTAACAAAAACCTTAACACCAAGGTGCTTCGCAATCTGTATAGCGAATGTACCGATTCCACTCGATCCGCCATGGATCTGCATACATTGGAGACACCCAACCATCAGGAATACATACAGCCAGGAGTCCAGGATAATTCACCCCATTTTGCATATGAGTAACTGCTAAAGTAGTTCACACTCCATAATTATAGCCATCATCTACTTTGCTATTCCCCAGTTAACTGAAGCATGCCAATTTGTTCTACCAAAAAGATATGGGACTCAATTCTCAGTGTAAGCCAGTAAGAGATTCACAAGCAATCTCATCCTCACAAAGCAGCAAGTGCAGTGAATTGATACGCCGTTTGCAATCATCACATGGGGCAACAAATTAGCAAGAGAGAATTTCTTACAAGGAAGGATTCGCCGGGGGAGAGGTGGCTGGTCATGAAGACGGTGGACCAGACGGTGCAGGCCACCTCGGGCAAGCCGGCGGCGTCGGTCAGGGACACCCCCTCCGGCACCGGGAGCAGCTGCCCCGCCGGCACCACCACCCTCTCCGCATACCCGCCACCGGTAAGCAGCGCGCACACCTGCGACGCAAAAGCGTATGCAAAATTGAGGTTCAGACTCCGGAGCAGCAGCGGTTATCTTATCACCATGGGGGCAGGGCAGGGGAGACGGCGACATCACCTGGTCGCCGACGGCCCAGCGCGGGGGCACGTTGGCCCCGAGCGCGAGGATGGTGCCGGAGCACTCGAGCCCCGGGTAGGGGGAGGCGCCGGGCGGCGGCGGGTACCGGCCCTGCCGCTGGACCGTGTCGGCGCGGTTGACGCCGGCGGCGGCCACCGCGACGAGCACCTCGCCCTCCCCCGGCGCCGGGAGGTCGTCCACCTCGCGCACCTGCAGCGCCTCCGGCCCGCCGGGGCTCGCGATCGCCACCGCCCTCATCGTCGCGTCCGTCCGCCTCCACCCGCCTGCGCTCAGCTCACTTGCTTCCGGCTTCCGGCTCTCGGTAGCTCCGCGTCTGCAGGCCACTGCTCCACGGCTCTGCTCTCGGCGGCTCTGCTCGGATATAGGGCCGGGCTTCTCCGACCGGATCCGGCCCAAGAAAGTTGGACGGCAAAATGTGGTCAGGGCATCTTCAACGGCATCGGTCAAACGAACACGGATGTGACGATTGAGGTTTCGAATAAGATCACATTTGCATTTGCATTTGCATTTTAAATTTAGATTTTTATTTTAAAATGCAGAAAAATCAAATAAGAGGTTTTAAGTTTTTAATATTTTGGCGTCGAGCTATTTTGCCGAGAGCTCATGTCTACTCACTTATAGCGTAACCGTCTCGTCTCCCCCGCCCCACTTTCCATTTAATCCCTGACAAAACCCACCTTTGTTCGTGACGCATTGGTGGACATCCGGTCGAACGCCGTCCGTCCAACAATATTTCAAACAAGGCGGCATCGAGCTGTTCATATTCATTCATAGATTTTTGTAGTGTAAAAGATCGTGTAATAAAAACAACTAAAAACTACTCTAAAAAATCCTACTACTTCCAGCCAGACGT